GCTCGGTCCGTACAAAAAAGGCCGAGGGCCGATATTCTTCCAGTACGGTCCCGAGCAAGCTTGGTTAATAAGAGATTTATTATACGACTGAAGTTCAAAGGGACACAAGTGGGGTATCATTCGGGACCATTCAGGACAGTGCCCGGTCCAATACTGAGAGAATATTGACCGGCACTAGAGCATTTTCATTGGTTGATTTTAGTTATTGGCCCTCTGACTGCCCGAGTCGTGTAATAATTATCCTTACAGTGCTTCAGAGCATGTGATGTATATGATTCCTTAAGCACATGAAAACTATGTAAAGCTATGCAAAGTAATTACGTGTATCGCTTCATGCTAATAACACTTAAAAATCCAACCAGTCTTCAGACTCGCTGGAAAATTATCTTACAGAACTAATCTCTTGCTTTGTCTGGATAACTATTGCTGTTTTTGACAATTCTGAAGGCGAGGGTGACTGACGAACCACGATCACACTTCGTAACGACGGCCAGCTAAAGTCAGCAAACAGCACAAAACTCCAAACAAAATGATTCCCCTGTACCGCTATTTGTTAAGACGTGGTTTTAGTATTAAAAACCCATCCAAAGGATCAACCATAATAAACAAGGAGAAGTATCATGGATATTTTCCGACTTAAAACCTTGCAAAAAGCCGATATTTTCATCGAACTTGTCCACAAACAAATGGAAGCACTTGGCAGCCTAATGTTGATGACCACTGACCACTGTGACGTCACCAAAACGTATTTCCGCGGTGTCTATCCATGTTGAATCCCCGATTGACCACTTTCATAAATGGCTACTGGATTGATATTCTTTTGTTTAAATTTAAATTAGCTTTTCTGGCCTCGTTCTCCAGTTTAAAATTCAAAAGAATGCATTATCTCAAGCGAGGCTAGTGAGGCTAATTTTAATTTAAACTAAAGAATATCAATCCGGCAGCCATTTATAAAAGTGGTGTATGGAAAAGGGATTTTTTTAGCGGGGCTCCCACGCGCGCTTCGCGCGCGTGGGGCACAGCCCCATACCCACGGAATATAGTCGACTTCTTTTCGTTTGGTTGTCACGTGACTGAGCGAGCGTACGTACGTACGTAAGATTTTGCGTAAAATTGAAGTTTTTTCAGAATTTTCAACATAACGCTGGGCAATTTCAGGCCTTTAAGGTAAGTGACAACCATCTAAGCATGATTAATTTTACCGCGTGAACTTTGAACACGTAAGAAATACGTGCATTTTTCGTTTATAACAGGAAATCAAAAACTGTTTTGAATAAATCTGTCGTCCCGAAATATTTCTTGGCCATTTTAGTCTTGCTTCCTATTGATAGATTCCGTGGAACTTGAGATCTCCTCGCTCACGGACAAATTCGCATATTCCATTTAGAAATATGATCCACATGGGGTGTGGACAAAGCCTGGCCTAGGCCATGGCCTAACCTGTGGCCTACCCTGTGGCCCACCCTGTGGCCTACCCTACGGCCTACCCTATGGCCTACCCTATGGCCTACCCTATGGCCTACCGGTGATCAGATTTTTAAAAACATAAAAATAAAATCAGTAAGAGTCGAACGAATACGCTGGTGTACAATTATCTGTCTCTGAAAAGGGTATACTAAGAGGTCGCTAACACGATTTTTAACGTCCAAGGGAACGAAACACTGCAAATATCACAGCACTCAACCATAACGGTACCTGTAGGTTAAGGGGGAGGGGAGAGGAGGGGATATACAAAATGGCGGCTTTATCATGCAGGCTGTCAGTTGGTAACATATAGTGGAGTGCTGGTGTAAAAATGTAACGAACGGCGTTATATTGGAGTGCATACGTATCCAGGTAAGAAAACGCAAACATTACGTGCCAGGCCAATTTTTTAAGTGCCCTCAACTGCTATAGAGTATTGAATTTGCAACGAGCACCCCGGAAGACGCACGCATTGCCGTCGTAAACATTTCGCAAACTTTACTTGCTTTTCCAAAGAAAGGGCCAGTATTGCACTAATTTGAAAGGAGAGCTGATATGATGATGTTTGCCCAAAAGTTGCGTTAACCGGCTTCTGTTCTCCGATTTCCTTATTCTATCAGAAGGTCAAGAAATTTTGATCGGAATGTGGCCGCCAAAACAGCAGAAGAAAGTCGTTGGTAAGACAGTACTCAGGAAAACGTTGAAAGGTTTCCAGCAATGCTATCCTTTTAAAAATCTGACCACTGGTAGGCCATACGGTAGGCCACAGGGTAGGTCACAGGGTAGGCCACAGGGTAGGCCATGGCCTAGGCCAGGTTTTGTCCACACCCTCCACATGGCTATTTGCACACATGCAAAAATATTTAGCGATTTTTATCTTTCATCTTGATTTTTTAGTTAAAACGTAAAATGCACCTATCGCTTTTTTCATCGGAAATAAGTACTTTAATTAGTCTTTTTTCGCTGGAGCTAGTTTTTTGGAAAAGATGATTTTTAAAAATTTACTGCGCATTGTGTTTGCTTTCTTGGTTTCTCCAAAATTTTGACTTTTCTCAGGCACGTGTTACATGTAAGTGTCGATGGGTTTCATCTATACTGAATGAATTTTTGGCTAAAAACTTTTAATATATGTAAAGAAATTTTATTGCAAAAGTTTCACTAATTGGGAGCTCCGCTTTTAGGCTTGGCTAAATCTATATATCGATCTTGATCGGGAAAAAAATCGAATCTTACTATTTTTTGTAGCATCTCCAGATTTTTTTTCTTGATGCGTCTCCAGATTTTCCTTTATCAGGGGTTGGCAGGTCTGCAATTCGTCGCTTACGCGATGCGAGAAAACCTGTCCAACCGGTTCTCTGGAGATCAAATACCGAGTGATATTTATACTCGTCTTAGGCGCTATTTGAACTGTACAGAGTGTAGTTGGATATTAAAATTGTTATTATATAAGTACTGAGATTTACTCAGTGCAAACTCACCGAATAGAAATCGTGTTACTCTAATGAAAAGCAATCCATTGGTCATACAATTTTTTCACAAGTGAAAGATATCGTATGACCAATCAGCAGCCTGATACGCTTTTTTCACAAATGAGAAAAATCGTATTGGTTTTTCCCGCCTTTCGGAGCGGCTATGCGAGTAGTTGAAAGCGAATGTTTGCAACGTTTCCTGCTTGTCCAGAATTATGGCTTCAAGATCTGCAGATATCAATTCGGTGGAAAAAATTATCGAGGAGCAAGAAAACGAAAAATTAAATTTATCTCTAGGTTCTGAATGTCCTTCAACCACAGTTTATTCAGCTAGTTCGGCCGCAGATTATCAATATGGCCAGCAAGCAATGTCGCTGTTTACCGGTGCTGATATTCATGGTGGTCAATTCAACATCTCTATCAGCAGCCTTAATCACTCACCAACCTTGGCCACTCCAGAATTGACAAATGGTAAACATCATAGCATACACTATTGAGTTACGGATGCACGAGGGAGGTTGCTAAGCACGAAAGAAGCGTAAGAGTCGCGCGAGGCGATAGTCGAGAGCGACTCTAGCTTCTTGAGTGCTTAGCAAACCTCCCAAGTGCATCCATAACTCATGCAACAGTGTACACTGTGGCGTTTACCATTTGTTTTTTAACATAACATTGATGCGTTGTAGCAAAAGAATTTTCTTTTCTGTCACAAGTCTTACGTGACCAGATAGACAAGCGCGCACGGAAAACTAGTCTTTGTATTTGTTCGTGTCAGCAGCGTACACCCATGGGCAAATGGTGGACACTGAATTGACCAATCAGAGTGCACGCTTTACTTTAGTTATGTTATAAATTGAGATTAAGTCCACAATGAGGTACAAAAGACTAAAAGTACTCGACTCCGATTCAAAGTAGAAAACGCTTTGTTAGTTTGAAAGCGTATATGAGCTAATATTTTCAGAAACCCTTTAACTGTCAAATGTAAGCCAAACTTTTTTGAATGGGTTTGTAATCTTTTTGCTTGAAATTATTTAAAAAGCACAGTCCTTTCGCATTTTAAGCCTATTCGAATGCAGCATTTTAGGCGTCTTGACAGCATTGACTAAGTATAGACAAAAGCGATATCGAGTTGGCGACTTCTTTGTCTTTTGTGGTCAGTTGAATGTGATTTAAAGTTACAAGCATTTGTGATACTAATATAATAAACTAATTACTTCATGGCTAGTTCGCTCGTGCGATTTTTATTCACTTGCTGCGCGATTCTTCACAACTCGAGAATAAAACCGTACGCGCTCACCAACCAAGTAGTTCAGTTGAAGCAATCTATAGATCTCTAACAAAGTAAATCATTAGATGAATTTGATATGACGCTTCGAAAATATGATTATGCAAACGTAAAGGTCAGCCCGTGTTTACCACTAGCTCAAAAAGGTTTCAAAGGCGTAAATGTATCGTTCATTTTGTTGACAGATTCTTCTCCATTTAAACCCCATGCCCATCCAATATAAGTGAGAGTAGCTGATGTGCTCGTAAAATGTCTTGATGAAAGAGGTAGATTGAGCTTTCTTGAACGACTCCATATATTTTGACATTAATTATGCGTGTTTTAAAGTAATTAAGTTTCTTCACAAATTAAATTTGTCAAAGAAATTAAAGTCTGCAACTTACCAAACAGAAGCGAAAAAAGGCTAAAAATACTATTACTGACTGCATATTGATCCCGCTTCTCATTTATCTGTAGAGGCAAAACAACGTAGCAACAGAAAGCTTCGCTTAATGTTTGGTTGACTACCTAGACACGGCAAACTGTTGGTTGAGTTCACATTCTTGTAATTAAACCGTAAATAGATCATATAACTGAATTGTGTTTAAGATGGGAATCTTAAAACTGCCAAATTGGCACAGCGTAAAACGAAGCAACTAAGAAATCCAAGAAATCTTTCAAAAAATTGTTAACTTATTAGCGTACTTCGACTGCTTTACGGAAGTCCTTGACGCGATGAGTAAACCAGTCACTGCGCGATCACGGACGTTACTCAAGAATATGGCTTACACAACATATGATTACGTACAATTACCTGCTCTGTAGCTAATTGAGAAGAGTCCCTATTTTCTTTTCGAAGTTCATTTATGGTGTCACTCATGAATTCAGCTGAGCTTGCAAGCAAACGGGAAAACGTAAATGTAAATGTGAAACGAAGTTGGAGTCGGGGGACTTTGATCACTCGCCCCATGCCCAGCGCATCTATATGTCACGCAAGCTGACGCGGAAGTAAGAGCAGAATTCTCCTGCGTTTTATTGCTGTCTAAAATGTAAAGCTATCAATAATGAGAGAGATCAATAGGGTAGTTGGTGTCTTTTCTCGAGGTACTTTGCAAGGAAACTATAAGCCTGAGATCGTCGCACAATGCTTACCTCCAAAGAGGCTTGCGCGCGCATACTTAGACTACGATATGAATATCATGTCTTTGGATGTTTTTTCGGTGTTGCGGTCTCTCGTGGTTACCGCTTTGACAGATCATGTGATCCAACAAGGACGATTCTCAAAAGAGGTATTTTTTGGACAAGTCCCTTAAAACAGTGAACGTTGGAAACTCAAGATTATTTGAGTTTGGCCCGATAAAAATCCCTCCTCTAGGGAGTTAGGGGAGAACATAAAAACCTCAAGTTCTACGAAAAAGGGTTAGTGATCAAGGCCATAGACATTTATTTCCCTTCATCTGCGTTTTTTAGGAATTTAAAGGGAATACAGAGTATTTTATTCTGAAGGGAAACTCAAGGGTGTTAGGACGTAGGGACTATAAGACGTCCCCCGCTTCTTTGCATCCTTGGTGAGGAGTACGGTGTGAGTTAGAGCCTAAATTTTAGTTCCCGACTCACGTGTAAGTCAATAACAGTAAGGCCCTTCAAGTGTTGACATCAGCAGAGATGTACCTTCACTGTGTTAGTTGACGTCATCAAGTTCTACTATGGGAACGAGCAAGGCAAGTAACCTACGTCGAATGCTGATAAAAGTTATGTTATTCAATTTTTTGGTGGCGAAAACGTGACGTTAAGGTGATATATTTCAGTCTCTCAAAAGTTGTCTGATCTAACCTTCGAAAACTTGAAAGCTTCTTTGTCATGTTTAAAGGTCAAAGAAATTCAGACGCTTGTACAATTCTGTGTCTATATTAGCATTTGCTTTATCAATAAAATTATACAGTAAAAAACACTAGCGGCTTATGCCTAAATCTCACCGATCATGGCCAACGCATCTGGGCAAAACACTTTGGATATTATCTCCTACTAAAGTGATTTATTCCGGACGCGCGCGTGCACGAATAGAAGTCTCTTCACATGTTAAAGACAGCATAGGACTAAATGAGACAGTTCGAGGCTAACACGCATAACGAACCATGAAACATTTCCTTTCAACAGCGATGATTGAGTGGAATAATTAAACAGAACTGTGAAAAGACTTTGGGTTGACTAATGGTGTCGGAAAATAGGTTGTCGGTGAGTTGACATGTCGGCGAAGTGAACAGTAACCGCGTAAGACAGTAAGACATAGCTCGTCTTCCAAGACTTTTACAATATCGAAGAGTTTTGTTTCTTTGAGCATCTTGCAAAAACTGTGAATTGTTAATTAAGGTTAAGATGCCCCTAGAAACTCCATAAGCTGCTTTCCACGGCCCTGTTTAGTCTAAATTGTCCTAAATCTCCTGTATGGCTGTTAATTGACGGTTTAATGGTCGGATCACAGTTTGTCTCTATTTGCAGACTCCAATGTCTTTTGTGAAGGCTTCTAAAGTTATTAAGCTGATCCACGAGGTTCCAATCATACGATGAACATGCATTTCTGTACGGACCCTCAAGGAAATCCTGAATGTGGGCGTTAAGATCCGGCCCTACACTGTCTCAGTAATATTGACATGTTCTTGGACCCCCTTCTTCACCTTCTTTCACTCGCACTAGAGAGAGAAAGTGATCAAAATTGTATTTGACTTAATAAAACGAAATGACAATGTTCTCTCTGGTCTAATGAGCTACACGATGCTGACGACTTTATGGTCATAAACGGATCATTGAAAGTGTTGGGTTCCACATTCGAAGTATTTGCTTCGGCAACAGAAAACGAGTTCGCCCATTTGGAACTGTTCTTGTGACTGTATGTTCTTCCAAAAAAATACATTCTTTTGGCTTTTTTTAAAGTTTTATGATTTGATGTATTCCTCACTTCTTTTTTCTGTAACCGCTACGCGGAATTTCATGGCATTTTGGTAGGAAAAACTTTTCAGTCCTGTGTGGCACAAACTTTACCAAATAAGTTATGATTTTATGCAGTAGGAAAAATATTTTACCTTGCTTTGTACCCACATCCTGAAAGAGATGAAGAGCAATTAGAAGACTGTACACAACAACAGTTTCACTATGATCTTACGTAGGTAGCTCGAAAGATTTACATCGTAGCGACTAAATTTGGGAAAATTTGCATGCGGAAATTTGATTTACACAGGACGTTATCTTGTACCGCTTTTGAAGCCTGCAGGGAGGCGGTAGTTTGTATTTTTAACCGCGAGATTTAATGTGACGAATATTCGTTCGCCAAATAGAGTGCCTGTGGAAAGTGTTTAGTATTTTATGATCTTTCCATTACTTTTAGAAGCTCAGTTTCGAAAAAACTCACGAAGATACTGATGAAATAAATCACGTTACAATAATCACACTCAAAGCAATGAAATGTTCTAAACAGTGATGTGACCATACTGTACACTTCCAAGTTCCAGCCATTTTAGCTATCAAGGATATACTTGCATCTTACCTTAAAGTATTTCATCAATTTTTCCTCCAAGTGTTTCTGCTCCTCTGGATAGTCAATAAAACTCACGTTGTGTAGCTGTTTGGGAAGATTTGTTTTGTCAAAGTCATCAATTTTTATGAGATCTAAACAGTTATCATTCATTCTTTCCAGCCTTTCCATGGCTAAATTCAGTTGAAACATGCAAACGTTACTCTTTAAAAAGTTAGTGGATGAGAGAGCAAGTATAATCTTAAACTTTTCAATACTGTTCTCCATTTGTTCGAAAATTATCTGTCCAGGCCGAAAATCTCTGTAGTGTAAACAAAACTTCAAATTATTTTTTTTCTCAAGAGTTAGAATTTTTTGCCTTTTTCACCCACCTAGAGTCTTCGGAAGAGTAGAGAACAAAGGCATCGAACTAGAACTCACCACTTGAAATAGGAAAAAGATATTACAAAAAGAGAAAAATATATAGACTTAAACCATAATTGCGGTAATTACGGAAAATATCTGTGGAGTTAATTTGTTGGATTTAACGCTAATTTCAACTTTTACAGGAACCGCGTGACTGAAGACTCATACAGGAACTCAGTTCTATCTCGGAAACTGTTGCTTACATTGACATGAACCAGATTATCTGTCTTCTTTTTTTTTGAGCGGTCACGGGAACTAGGGGGTGAAGGTGTGGCTGGCTTGAGGTAGGAGAGATGGGTGTTATATCCGCTTGATTTCAGGGCGTCTTCGTTGTGGGCTTGGCTTTGGTGAATACACCTTCGTTGCAGGAGAGGTCACAGATACGCCGGTTAATAGATTGTGGAAGGTGCTTGATGATGGAAGGGGATGGTTGGACTTAGCATGGACGTGGAGGGGATCGTTGTTGGGTTTTCTGTAAGGGCAGTGTGTTCCTTTCGTTAGGTTTAGTGAGACGTCGAGGAAGTTGACTGTTTTTTAGTTGGTGTATATGGAGATTGTTCAACCCCCCCTTCAGCAGAAACGTCCAAACTAACGTCGGTAAAACTTTCCTTACACCTCTTGTTCAGAAGCACTTCCCCACCTCTCACAAATACCACAAAATCTTTAACAAAAACACCACCAAAGTCAGCTACAGTTGTATGAATAACATAGATTCTATTATAAGGAGGCACTATCAGAAAATCCTGAACCCCCCCACGACCAGTCAAGACCGCAAGTGCAACTGCAGAGTAAAACAAGCCTGCCCGTTACAGAACAACTACCTCGCTTCCTCCTTAATTTACAAGGCTAATGTCATCACAAACAAAGACCAAACGGGAAAAAACTACATCGACCTAACGGAAAATTATTTTAAACTTAAGATACACGCAGCATTCTCTCTCATTCCGAAAGAAAGCCTACGCTAACAGCACCGAGCTATCCAAATACATTTGGGAACTTAAGAGCACCAACACTCCCTACTCCATTCATTGGTCGACAATCCACAAAGCCGCATCTTACAAAGGAAATTCAAGAACATGCAACCTCTGCCTTGCCGAAAAATTCCTCATTATCACCGCGGACAAATCCACTTCATTAAACAAACGATCAGAACTAATTTCCAAGTGCCGCCATGAAAACAAGTTCTACTTGCGAAACCAATAGAAACAGTCCTTTTGTCTTCTTAATTGCTTCCTATTATTTTAACTATAATTTCTATTTATAAATTGACTTTATAGCACGGTATGTTTTCCATCTGACGATCGCAGCGCAGGCTGCGTGAAACTCAGAGTAATGGTGAAACGATCTTCCCGTCATGAATTTATTACGACAGTACTGTTTCGGCCTTCTGGGCCTCATCAGTGCGGTGCTAATGCTAGGGTGGGGGAGAACCGATATTGAATCTTCCAACTGTGAAAGACCACCATGAAAATATGTGTACAGCAACATTTCGCAAGATAATGAACGATCCTCAGCACAAATTAAGCAAACTTTTACCACCCCGCTACGTAAGCTCTCATAGTTTAAGGCACGAGCGTACCTTTGCTTTGCCACTTTGCACGACAAATAGACTTAAAAACAGTTTTTTTATTGCTTCGGCCAGAATAGTCAACAGCCACAAATAATGTAGAAGTTCCCCCTTACGACGAACTACGTATTTTTTTAATAATAAGATGTATACATGTAAATAGTAATTTTTATTTTATATCTGTGAATGCGCAATTCAGTTCATGCTGCGAAGTATTCACCAATAAAGTAAAGTATCTAACTATCTATGGTCACCCCAAACGATCCCACATTTGTGGTATCGTCTAAGCCATGCCAGAGTGCTCAAACTAGAAAAGCCTAGTGAGCTATGCGCAATGCTAGCGGCAATGACTCATCCCAAACGAATAAAAAATTGTGCAATTAATATCAGTACATGGGTTGATACCAAAAGAAAGTTCAAACATGAAGGCATTGAATAAGAGATTGACCTTTGAACAGCTTCTGTCCCTAGCTCCTTCAAGTTGCTGTCAAGGGAGCTGATGGTCTTGAAAGTGAATTTTTGTGTGCACGAATATTGTGGTCAATACTCGAAGAATACTAGTAATATAAAAAAAGATCAGCTTCAAAAGCTACCGATAATATTTCTGTCCTTTCACTATTCAAATAATTGGTTTTTCCTAAACAAGACCGTGAGTGCCTATTTGAGCGTAAATTTAAGATAAGATTTTTTAATACATTGAATAAATTCGGTTAACATTTTGTCATCTCATGGCTGAGATTCCTACAACAACTGACAACCATCAGCCTGCACTCAATTACAAGGGTAATCGACAGGAATCCCACAGTCGGACCCTAACAATCGCCTGCGATAATGTTACCAGCCTATGCAAAATACACCCTAGATCAAAATTCAGAAACATTTGTATGGTAGCTGGAAACAGAATTTACACTTGCTTACATAGTAGGCTTTGCTAAATGATGTTATTGTGAATGTATAATACTTTCAACTAAAAATTCTGAAATCTTACAACCAAGGTACCGAGTATGGATGGAAAATTACCTAGAAGAAAGATTTCCCGAATTTGGGCGATTGATCAGATGGTAATCAATTAGCTAAAAAATTAATTAAAAACTCATTAAAGTACAAAAAATGTTTAAAAAATAATTGAGTAATCTATATTTGCCATTAATGTAGTCCATTGACACTGTTACACTTGTTCTCAAACCATTTTCTACCTATTTACTTGTCTGTAAAGGAGTATGTGAGTTTTTGTCATTATCTTTTCCACTTGACTACGTCTTGTATAAAAAAAAAATACTCAAAGGAACGTTTCAACTTATACTTCCTCCCTTGATACTGAATTTTTGCTTGTGGATAATGAAGTGCAATTCACTAAAAGATTTCACAATTCACAACCGAAGATTACACAACGATTTTACCCGGGTGAGGTAAAGCAAACCTAAATGTATTGGATCACTTTAGATACTCAACTAAAAAGTAATCTAATTGTTCATGATTTGCTCATTGAGTTGCCGCAGCAACTCAATGAGCAAATGGCTTGATTGGCGTCACGTGATAAAAAATTTATACACGAACGTCCCTGCCTGAAATTGGAGTCGAAAGATGAGGTAACAATACTTCAACAATGTCAAAACGCCGTATGTCTTTATCTTTAAGTTCCTTGCAAATCTCATACACTGTAAGTTTCGGGTTTGTCCTTGCTAGGAACTCAATTACTTCTTTTCCGGCCGTCTCTTGGCTGATTTCGAGAGAAACTATAAGATCTTTCTGCATGGTATACCTGGTAGCGAGCTGTTTCCAGGTCCGAATTCCGGGTTTTTTCTGGATCAGAAGGTTTCCAACCATCTCTTGAATATTGAGATCAACATCTGTGAGACATTTGCGCTCTGAAGGCAAAGAAGCAAAAGGAAAATAGCAATGTTTCCTCAAATAACTTACGTGGCGAAGCATTTTGAGCAGAAATATGGCAAGTTCTCAATCAATTGACAAATATAACATGCCCCTGCGTTTTCCTCCTCAAAAAATGCCAGTGGGTTAATGAGTCGATAGAAGTTACGTACATAAAATACATTACCGGACTAGTCATTGTAGAATAATGTTCTAAAGTACTCCAGAATATCCAGGAATGTTCAGTAATTTACCTTGTATTACACTAATCAATTTGAACCCCCGCCACGACCCAAGGACAGGGCGGGGAAACCAGGGCTTCAAACACAAATTATTAGGGAGCTTAAGCCGAGACATTAGGGACCTTAAGAAACCACGACGGCGACGCCAAGGAAGACTTCGATTAAAAAATGAATTCCTACTCTTAGTTAGAATTTCAAAAATGGCTGCAGGAGCTTACTGTCTCATTTAGCGCCACAGCTCAACTTCTGCATGACGTATAAAGTAGCCGTTGAGTTCCAAATGGAAACTAAAATAATTTGCCGTCGAGGTTTCGGTTCGCAGACGACGCAAATTTTGGCGATTTCACGTTGTTTTGCATAGGACGGCTATGAAATGTACAAAGATTCAAAATGCACGTGCTGAGCTACTGTTCTGCCAATCATCTCTTGTTTTCCACGTCCTCGTTGCCGTCGCCGTCGCCGTCGTGGTTTCTTAAGGTCCCTATTATTGAGACGCAGACGGCAACCGGAAGAAGAATAAAGCAAATTCTGGCGCGCTTTCACGTCCATGCATCGACTTGTACTGACCAAAGAGGATACTGAGCAACAGGAGAACTTTTAACTTCCAGCTGCCGTCCGCGGCTCAAAAACGTTTGTGCTAAAGCTCCCCAATTAACAGCGGGATCTCATGAGGAAAAAAGCAGTTTAACACTATGTTGCTCAAGTGCGAGGTATTACACTTGGAACTAAGCGTTGATGGAGAGAGCAACAACAACAACAACAACAACATTGACTTTATTTTTTTTTTTAAATTAAAGAAATAAAGGCTTTTATAGCCCGCAGTTAGCGTAGCTATTCCAGGCGGGCTACCTAAACAGACACTGTATAGGCTCTCTCTCTCTCACACACACACACACACACACACGCAACAATGAAATAAATAAATAAATAAATGAGCAAATAAAAATAAATAATAAATAATAGTAGTGATAATCATGTTAAAGGTTTTAACTGGGCCAGTCACACAAGGGAGTTTTTAACAGGTCAAAGAGAAAGCTAATCAGTTGAAATACAAATATAAGCTAGAAAGGTCAAGGTAGCGCAAGTCAACATTCATCTCCTCAATTTCAAGAATTTTCAAAAGCAAGTGAGTTAGCTCACGTTTAAAAGGTGCTTTCCTTAGCTTACGAATTTCAGGGGGGGATGCCATTCCATATTTTCGCACCAACTCTAGAAAAGGAAAACAACTGATGATTTGTTCTCGCCTGTTTAATATAAAAGCTTCCAGCTACTGAGAAACGAGTAGAGTAGGAATGAACCTGTTCAGAGTGAGTAAAAAGTTTAGAAATATTCGGGTAAAAAGATTTGGGTTGAACGATTTGGGTAGGTCGAAGGCCAAGGTAAGAATGTGTGTAGCTTGTATTGCCAGTACATGTAGTACCCAAATGAAATGTAATTAGCTAACACTCACCCATTCCTTCACGCGGGACAATGTCTAATTCTGCAGGGAGAGATGTCACACACTTCACACTGTCAGCATCGTCATACTTCACTTCACACTTGTAATTGCCAAAGTCCTCCATCTTAACTGGATCCAGAACAAGGGAAGAGTTTCTTTGACCATCCATCATGGAGTCTTCTTTAAACCACTGATAACGTCCTACTAACTCCCCAGAGATGTTGCATTTAAATTCCACTCGTGATCCTTCTTTCTGTTCTTGATGTCTGGGTAGCACCACAGCCTTTAAAAAGGTTTGATTAGTTTGAGGCCAATATGAAAGTCATTGAATAAACATAATGTACAACAATGATATTTTTAACTAAATTATGTCAAGCAGTGGACAAGAATACAACACGATCTTCTTCGTCATCTGACTAAGCCCAATTTACATGGCATGGATGTGGCATGATTTAGGAAATGATACAATTTGATGAGCATTAAGTACGCATCGTCTGATTGGTCAATTCGGTGTCCAAGCGGATGCTTTATCAAGTTATAGAGCCTGCATTTAACTAGTTATGCCATAAAAGGAATAGAACGCATTTTTCTGGACTCTATAATGTGATAAAGCCACTTGGGATGCTAGGAAAACACTCGGAAAGCTTCTGTTAAATCACTCTCCTTCGGCTCAGACCCCATTCCACAAACCCTAAGCAAACCCTTACCTATTACTAACCTTTACCCCACCCAAACCCTAACCCAACCCTAATCTAACACTAACCCTAATATAACTCTAACCCTAACTATAACCAAAACTCTAATATAACATTAGCAATTTAACCCTAAACCCTAAATGCTTCGCCCCCTCTTTCTAATAGTTACTCTTATATAATATTTTAACTTCATTTTATTTTATTTTATTTTGATTTTATTTACTTATTTATTTTTTATTTTGATAATATATAACATATATTTTTTACAATTTTAAATTGAGTTTAGGAGCGTGCTGTTGTTATAGAAGTCGCTCCCTCAATTTTAACACCAAACTTTTATGTTCATTTTACACACTCATCCCCACCCTTGCATACGCTTTGTTCCTTTTTTACCCACTGATCACGAGTTTGCTCATCAGTGGAGTGGGAACCCATTTTCATGGGATCCTATACATCAACACCAAAGGACAAAGGAAGCCACAAAGGTTGCTAGTGAAACTACTGATTAATATATTTAATACTGATTAATATATTTAATACTGATTAATATATTTAATACTATACAAATGAACACTTGGAAAACTTATCGGCTTGGGACTTATAAGCTTTCCTCGCATTCTCCCAACATCCAGTGTGGCTTTACCACGTTATAGAAGCCAGGAAAATATGTTCTATTGCTTATACATGTATGTACTTATGACATAAGCACGCAATGTACTAGACAAAGAAGATAATTTGGTTTTATTACCTGAGTTGATAATGTAAATCAGCCACTGACAGTAAAGAGTAAACCTAAAGCTGCCTTTTAAAGCATAAGCATATCACAGCTATTGATTGATTGATTGAGTCAGCAGCAATATTTAACTTATTATGAATAAAGACTAATAAACAATCCATTGACTTATCATCACTATAAAGTAAACCAACTACATGCAATTCATTCGTTTATTGGAAAATTACAAACTGTACTAGACAATGTCATCATGGACACTGTGTTCATGCCACAGTATGCATTACCAACCTTAAATTAAACCATTAATTACTACTCAATTCATTCATTATACTATCCAAAAACTAATCAATGTCTGCTAGTTACCATGACATTTAAGGAACAAATTAATCTCACATATTTTACCCACCTGGATGATTTCCTTTTTAGGGGTGCTAGCGCCTGAAAATTTCCTCTTTATGAAACTCACAATTGGCTCGCTGGACCTTCCTGCCCCCTTTTGCCCATTACCTGAGTTGGTGGTATTCATATAAAAGCATGCAGTTAGGATGTGGACCACAGAATAACTTTCAAACCTCATCACAGATGAGGCTGCAAGCTGTGCAAACTTTAACTTTGACTGAAATAAACAAATCTCACCAAAGGCAAATCATTTAAGGCAGACTTCCATATAACATGTAGATTCTGATCAATATAGCACATTTATCTTTTTACTGCAGCCTACGGCACTTCCCTTGCGAAAAGATCTAGGAAATTCCTAGGAAATCCTAAGATTTTCCTAGGAATTTCCTAAGAATATTCCTAGGAAATTCCTAGGAATAAGGTGTGAAATTTCACAGTAAATTGGGACGAAGAATTCAAAGAATTCCTAGAAATTTCCTAGGAAATTCCTAGGAGTGAAAAAATTAAAATTCGAAAAAAATCCTAGGAAATTCCTAGGAATTTCTTAGGATACACATTTCACTTTTGTCTGACCAAGATTAGGTCCCCAAGGAAATTCCTAGGAAACTCCTAGGAATTTCTTAGGAAAATAGGAAAAATAGAATATAGACACTTTAACAACTGCCCCACAAAGTGGAGGTAGGGTGCCTGAGACATCCAGGAGCTTCCACTATTGGCAGCCAGCTCCTAGATGAAGACTGCTCCCATGGATGGCAAATCCAGGCGACCCAGCCATGAGCCCCCACACAGAAGGAGAAAAACAGGGAAAAATGCTAACGCTCAGAAAAACACTGACTAAAACACTAACAAAACTGAACAACGCCCCGTGGACCAAGAACAAAAGGAATACAGGTGCATGCCAGACCGCTGACTGCGCCGAGT